AAGGCAACAACTATAGATAGATTCAAGCTAATTAAGCTGAATGGATGGTTGTCAAGCTCTAACTTGGGGATGCTTAACTTGTTCAGGAATTTCATCAAGCTCGATTTAATATAATTCTTTCAGGTTTTGAGCTTGTTTGGAAACATAAATACAGAAATTCGATTTTGGCTCGTTATAATCAAAGTACTCCATATCATATCCAAACTTTGAAGGTTGAAACTGAATACCTTTTCCATTTTTTCTTTTTTTCAGTAAAATGAATACATTTTCTAATTTTAACTAGTTCCAGAATTTCAACTGAATTTATTTTTTTTATATTATGTAAAAGTTTTTAATACTGAATTTTAAAAGTGTGAATCTATGTCATTTAATTTAGTAAATGACAATAAAATTTTTCTATAATGAAATATATGAATGTTAAAATGTTTTTTTTTTTTTTCAAAAAATAAGGTATTTTAAGGTACCTTGTTTCTAACGGAATTTTCCACGTAAACCAAACATTTCCTAAACCCTTCGAATAAGGATAAGATTACTAAGGTTCGAACCTTTCCAGCTGGGGAGGGAGGTGTAAGGACAGGTCCGAGGTACCAAGATTCGGACTGCTACAGTAACTCCTCTATGACCGAAGTGCAGAATAAACCCAAAGCTTCCCGCTAAAATAGATGCATGGCAATGACAATAAGCATGCCCGCACCTGATTCCTTATGATGAGTCGCACAGCAAGTATGGTGGACGCTTGTGCATCTGGATACCTCTCAAATTCCCGGTCCCGGAATAATCGTCTGGATGAACACGTCAGGCTCCGATTATCTTGCTTGGCATGCCACGTGAGTTCCTCACTGGATCCTATAAATACCTCCTCGGGCCACGTCAAAAAGGTAATTGAAACCAACCTTAAGCTTTTCTTATCTCCGCCCTAAAGGTAACCCCGATTATTGCTAACTTAAGCATCGGAGTGTCTACCCCGAGTTCCACCTCGGGGCTTTGCAGGTCATCCCGAAGTGCAATTGCGGACTGAGAAGGACTTCTGGTTCGGTGCAATTACAGGAGGTCAATCCTTTACCACTTTCCAGCCACTAGGGTCATACACAGCCTCGGTGAGAAAGAGTTGCAAACCTTTTCTACTTGTAGATAAGAGTTAGCGAACCGCCAGTGCACCCATTCTCAAACAATTGTTTACCCTGTCATGTGATGATGATGATGATGATAGTTTTTTAACTAAAAATTTGTCTAAAATTAAATTTTTATTATTTTTATAAAATAAAAAACAATTTCGTATTTTGAATTTATTGTTACGGCTTAGTTTTAATTTTTCTGTAATATGACAAATCTCTCTTCATTCCTATGTTGGTTTTTTATGGGACATCCTTATCTTTCTTAAGGTAATATAACATAAAGAAAAATATAAATTTAC